TTTTTTTTTTTGTCCCAGAGCCGTTTTAAACATTGCTATCTTTTAGGGCTGGATAAAATGATGGTGGATAAGGATGGCGACGTGACTGTAACCAATGATGGGGCCACCATTTTAAGTATGATGGATGTCGATCACCAGATCGCCAAGCTGATGGTGGAGCTATCCAAGTCACAGGATGATGAAATCGGAGATGGGACCACTGGAGTGGTTGGTAAGGAAGAGCACAGTACCCTTTCTCATTTAGGAGGTGTTATTAACTATTAAAGGTCTGACACTTCTGCTCAGAACATTTACTCTGGATCAGGTCATTAGGAGACAGTGGGGCAAATCCAAACTGGAGGACACGATGCAAGACAAGTGGCCCAGACTCTTCAGAACTGTCGCCATCATGAAAGAAGAGGAAGCAGGTTGGGGTAGAGTTAGGCAGCTGTTCTAGATTAAAAGTTCCAGGGAGGTTGATGAGATTAGTGTCTGTAATGTTACTTTTCTTGTAGGTGAGATTTGAATTCATTTATTCAGCCAGGTATTCGTTGGGTACCAAGCTCTGTTCTCACTGCTCTGGATGTGCTTGGAGTACAGCAGTATTAAAACAAACTCTGGGGTCGTGATGCTGAAATGAGAGGAGAAGGGAAGGTTGAGGGGCAGAGAGAGAGAAGTGATAAACTAATTTTTTTAATCCTCTTATCACCAACATAAATTTCATTGACTAGAAGTCCCTGGTCCAGAAAACAAGTTTTTTTCCCCCTTGTGAGGAATTTTTTATATGCTTTTTATACTTTTTTTTAGTTACATCCTGCACATCACTGAGAATTGAACATCTATCTATATGTGGTACCAGTTAGAAGTTTGTTAGAACCAAAACAAGAGGCTCCCTTTTTAAAGATAGATTAGATGGCCTCAGCCTCTGAGATGCTTCCAGCTTAATTCTGGAACCTTCATGTTTCCAGGACAGCATCTAATTGTTTTTGCATTTTAGCAGTTTCCTCAACCAGTTCTGTGCTGTCTCGTCCGCAGTTCTGGCTGGCGCCCTGTTGGAAGAGGCCGAGCAGCTGCTGGACCGTGGCATTCACCCCATCAGGATCGCCGACGGCTATGAGCAGGCTGCCCGCATCGCCATCGAGCACCTAGACAAGATCAGTGACAGCGTCCTTGTCGACATAAAGGACACTGAGCCCCTGATCCAGACCGCAAAGACCACGCTGGGCTCCAAAGTGTGCGTGTGCAGTGCAGGGCTGCGATTGGTGTTTGCAGGGAGGCAGGGTTCGTGTGCTTGTTCGGAAGGCACCTCGAAGTTATCGGTGGTGCTTTTGTATTGATTTGATGAGAAGACTGCAAGTGTAGACATTTGTGTCTTGGTTTTTAGTTGGGAGCTGAATTTCTAGTTTTGAGTATTAAGTTTTCTTGACAATATTTGTAAACTGTATAGTTCTTTAATTTAGCAGGATAGGCTGGGTTAGAAGAAGGTCCTACTTGTGGGATATGTTAATTTTTCATAAAATTCCTTCTACCATTTCTTTCCTAGGAATCCACTCAGTTGGGGGGGGGTTCTTATCCATTTAACAAGCAACTTAATGATCAGAATTTTAATTTGTGTAGAAGGTCAATCTTGAAATTGACTTACATCAGGTATTTTCAATGCTTACATAGTACCTACTGTTTGCCAGGCCTGTGGCCAAGTCTTGACACAAGGCTCTTGCCCCCTAGAAACTCAAAGCAACTTCTGCCAGGGGACACCCTTTGAACAATAGACTTATGGACTCTTGTTATAATGAGGCATAACAATCCAAAACAAGCCTTTTTACACTATTTCTTAACCCATATCAATTTGAGAAATTTTTTAATTTGTGCCAAAAAGGAAGGTGTGGTCTCAACGTAGAGGTTAGGGGAGGTACAACAGAAATGTCTGCTGCCTTCTCCCCCAGGCAAGGACGCCCCCCGCAGTGCTGTGTTAAACCAGGAGGTCTTCAGTGATGCCAGCTGTCCCCTTGTTGCAGGTCTGAGTTGAAACTAGCTCCTGTGCAAGGGTGACCCCCGGGTGGCCTCCAACAGAGGGACAGCACTGTTTTGCTATTGGAAGGAGGGCATCACACTTCACTGAGATGCACAAATCCTATGTTATAATGACTTTGTACGTTGACCCTGCTTTATTTGCAAGTCTTTATAAAACCCCATTATGTGTAGATCTTTACCGTAGAAAATGTTCAGATGGGTTGACAAGAGCCAAATAAATTCAGCATAAAACATAAATCAGCCACTTAGGACACAATATTTTAGTTTCATGGTTCTCTTTTCCAGGTGACTCAAGATTTCAGGCACTGTATTTCAGGTACTAGAGTTCCCTTGTGGTTTTTCCAGAATCAAAAGTAAAGTTATTGAGCAATCTTTTCAAAGGTTTCAAAACTTTCGAAAAAAGGTACCAGTGCCCCCTATAACTGATGTGGTCAGGCCTTCTGTGTATCATTAAGTGCAGCACCTCCTGTAGGTAAGGTTGGCTTCTCCCTGGAGGTTTCCTGTCTTTCCCATTCTATTTTAGACTTGGAAATGCTAATAGTATTAAAAAGTAACCGAATCTTGGAAAAATTTTGGTTCTTGCTGTACTTCAGTGTTCTCTTAGAAACATTCATAATAGATACAAATAGTACATTTCAGTTACTGTTGGTAATCCCTCCCCAGACTATTGAAGGTGCAGGTTTGGTGGCATTCTTCTCTAGGACCCTGAACGTGGTTTCGTACATCTGTGATTTCCAGGATGTTGGGTCGTGTTCGAGTTAGCATGTAAGTCTTCTGACTGCGGTGGTCATTGAAGGAGAGTGGAAAAGGTTTGTTTCGTGTTTCCTCAGGGTTAACAGCTGCCACCGACAGATGGCCGAGATTGCCGTGAATGCTGTCCTCACTGTGGCTGACATGCAGCGCCGAGACGTTGACTTTGAGCTCATCAAAGTAGAAGGCAAAGTGGGCGGGAGGTTGGAGGACACTAAGCTGATCAAGGGCGTGATCGTGGACAAGGACTTCAGCCACCCACAGATGCCAAAAGTAAGTCGGGGCTCCCGCAGCTTCAGGCCTTTAACTCGTTGGCCCAGCACTTCAGGGCTCTGTTTCTCTCCACAGCAAGTGGAAGACGCCAAGATTGCGATTCTCACGTGTCCCTTTGAACCACCAAAACCAAAGACGAAGCATAAGCTGGATGTGACCTCTGTAGAAGATTTTAAAGCCCTTCAGAAATATGAAAAGGAGAAGTTTGAAGAGATGATTCGGCAAGTAAGTCTTACCATGGCTCTTGGTGAAGTTTAAGCTCTCAGAGGGTGCGGTAGTTAGCTGTGGGTAGTGAATACACATGGTGCCGACCTGTGTTATCTTGACATTTTTTGTAGCTACAAATAAAGTATTAACAATGTATACTTCTTTCCTTCACTTTTACATAATAAAATTGATAAACAGAAAAATCAGATGGCACAGAAAGGCGTGAGAAGGAGTGTCTTCAAATGGCAGCATGTGTGGGGTGCCCGAGCGTTGCTTGGTACCTGGAGCTGTGCTTTTGATTTTACTTGCTCTGAACACGTCTAAGCCAGTACGTTCAAGGTTTGAACAAGTTTAATGTGGCTTAGCACAGGTTTGAGATTTATAAATAAAATGGTTAGACAAGAGTTACTGCATAACTGAAATCAAACAGGATGCAGTCATAGTAATCCCACTTCTTTGCTTAAACAGGTCAAGAGTATTATTTTATAAATACCGTATTAACTCTTTCTCTGGCTGTTAATATTTCACGTGTGCCTGCTCCCCGAAGGAGCAGTTCCTCTTTCAGGGACTCTCTTCTTGGGAGCTTAGAACACCAGGACTCAAGGATCATGAACGTGGACATCTGTTAGAACGTTATCACAGTGAACAAACCGGAAGCTCCTTCAGTGTGTTTGAGGGGAGGGGGGTTGTTGAGTTTTCATTTGTGGTTTCACGGGTATACTTGTCTGTGGCCAACTATACCAGGCCCTGTTGTAGACACTGGATATACAGCAGTAAATAAAGCAGAACTCTTGATCTTGGGGTGCAGAATAAGGGGCAAGTGGGTGAGGACTGTGTTAAAGACACTGGACAGAGGCCTCTAAGGAGGTGACATGTGAGCAGAGGCCTCATAGAAGTGACAGCAGCATATTTGGGCGAGGAGCACTCCAGGCTGAGGTGAAGGGGACATGGGCAGCATGTGCTAAGGCCCTGAGGCCAGAACATGGTTGGCATAGGCAGAGAACAGCAAGGCGGGGGGGTTGAGTGGGCTGGCAAGAGTGGTATAAATAAAAGCTTGTCATCTGGGCTTCGGGATCGCTGACCAAGGTGCACTGGAGGCAAAGATGACAGGGATTCAGATGCTCACAGGGTTGGATGGATTGTGTCAATAGATGTGCAGGTTGCCAGGAATGGTAACAGGGGTGGTGCTGGGGATGGATGCTCATGTTTTAAAGAATGAGGCAGACCCAGAGACACACGGGGTGACCAAGAGGAGCAGGAAGGGCCCCTCCTACTTTGAGCTTGTGGGAGGAGAACAGCCCCTTGGAGAGAATGCCAGTGCAGGCTGGTGTTTCAGGGAACAGCCAGCATTTGTTGACAGCAGGAATGTAAAGGAAACATTGCCCAGAAGGAGTTTGATAATGGACTGAGCTCCAGGGGCCCCTGGAAGGTTCCAGAGGGTCAGGAAGGAAGGGAGGAGGTAGAGAGCCGGGTGTGGAGGGCAGAGACAGGAGTACAGTGGTCATCGCCACCGAGGAGGGATGGACCGTTCTGATCACTGCCGCCCTCCTGGGACAAGTCGCTTAGCCGTTTGCCGGGGTGGGTTCTGACTGGAAGCAGGAGGGCCTCTGCCAGCCTCTGAATTAGCCTGTGTCTTGACCCACAGAGGATAGTCCACTCAGGTGAGAAAAGCAAGTTGCAGAAAAGTAAGATTCAGTTTTTGGTTAAACACAAAAATAGCTGCTTCACAGGTTTTTGTGAGGGACAGCGCTGTTGACCTTGGTCTCCCCAGAGCAGGGCGCTAGCCCTGTTGGCACGTCCTGCGTTGCTTCACTGGGACAGCGGTGGGCGTTCCGCGCAAACTGCTAACTTTTAAAGCCTTGTTTAAAAACGAGATGATTTCCAGCGATGCATGTTCATGTTTACGTTCAGAGCTGACGGAGAGCAGACACGTGGGTGCTTCCTTTTCTTTCCTGTGCTTTATTTAACGCACTGCCCTACACACTCAACTATGTTTCACGCCTTTTTTTCAATTTTTTTCAAACATTAGAGCACAAAGAATACTTACTATTTATTAACATGACTGGCATTTGTCTTCCCAGATTAAAGAAACTGGCGCCAATCTGGCTATTTGCCAGTGGGGCTTCGATGATGAAGCGAACCATTTACTTCTTCAGAACAACCTGCCTGCGGTTCGTTGGGTAGGAGGACCTGAAATCGAGGTAGGAAGCTCCCTGGGAAGAGACTGAACGCAGGCTGAGCCTGGGGTGCGCACCTGGGCCCGCGTGCTGGCAGAGCGCATCACCGCATTGTGCCCAGGCTGCTGGGGCGGGAGGGTGCGCTAGGGAGGGGGGATATGGGACCTTTCTTAGGTTTTTGTATGTATTTCTGCTGTTTGATTGCATTTTGAAGTCCTGTCTTGTGTCCTCACTGGCTGTCTCCGTGGCTCTCTGAGGCAAGAAGGCTAGTTGCCCACCTCTGTCAGCCACAGAAACACTAACAGCCTTTGCATGCGTGGTCTGTCCCCCAGGGTCCCGGCCTCGCTGCTCTGCCCTGCGGCCCGGCCCAGGACGGGTGGGCAGAGTGGGGTGCCAGGCCCACTGGAGCGGGACCAGGATGCCCAGCTCTTCAGAACCTGGGTCATGGGACAAGGCCTCTGGGGTGGACCCAGGAACTTCTGGGCCAGAGTGGGCAGCAGTCCTAGTGAACACCGGGTTATAGGGCAGGTTTGGCTTGATCATGGTGGGAACTTGGGCTGCACTCACTAGCCTCTTTCCCGGCCTTCCGCGCAGCTGATTGCCATCGCCACCGGGGGGCGTATCGTCCCACGGTTCTCAGAGCTGACGCCCGAGAAGCTGGGCTTCGCGGGTCTAGTGAAGGAGATCTCGTTCGGGACAACTAAAGACAAGATGCTGGTCATCGAGCAGTGTAAGAACTCCAGGGCGGTCACCATCTTCATCAGAGGAGGAAATAAGATGGTGAGGACTCAGCTGTTTGTCCTACATTTTGTCCGATTTAGGAACGTGATTTGGATTTTCCCATAGTGTATTTAACTGAGAGATGGTTACCATAAGAGACAGGGCCGTCTTTTTTGGAGGATCAGGGACATGGTGGTGGAAGTGACTGAAGACCACGGCCCACCGTCAGTTCTGCACGGCCCACTTGCCTCTCCTCAGTCCCTGGGTAGAAGTGGAACCCGGGCAGTAACCTTGGACGCCCGTCCTTCTCCAGGATGGGTGTAGTGCGTGGTGGTGGGTGAGACTCATGAGGATTCTCCTTCAGTTTTGTTTGACCCCTTCACTTGCTCGTGTGCCCGAATGAGTTGAGGCTGCGTCTTTGTATTTTTTTCTAACTGCTTCATAGGGAAGAAAAGGAAGATAAAGAAACAGTCTGACAAGTATTCCGGCACGCCCTCGCCCTCTGTTGTAACCAAGGGTTTTGGTTTTCCTGGGATGGGGTAGGAATACTCCCAGTACCCAGCTAACACTGAGATTAAACCAGAGGTGCCTGGTGTTTGGCTCTGAAATGATTGAAGTGTGGCCACGTCAATTTAGGCAAAATTGTTATTCCCTAGATCATTGAGGAAGCAAAACGGTCCCTTCATGACGCTCTGTGTGTCATCCGGAACCTCGTCCGGGACAACCGCGTGGTGTACGGCGGCGGCGCTGCTGAGATCGCTTGTGCTCTGGCCGTCAGCCAGGAGGCAGACAAGGTGAGGTGCACTTGTGGGCTCCCCTCTCTGGGCCGTGCGGGGTGTCCGGCCGGTGGGCTGCAGGGCCCTCAGGGAGCAAGCGCTCGTGTGCTGTGTCATGCCCGTGTGCCACTGCAGGTTACTGTGAACCAGCACAGCCCAGCCCTTCTCAGACACTCTGGCCTCGACAGTAAATCTCTACACTTTTAATGTTACTTGAAATTCAGAATTAAACGTTGTAACTGAGAATAAAGCAGTAAGTGCTGGTTGTTTGGACTTTGCTCTCACACATACACCTTCTTCAGCCTGATCCTGTATTGACAGCCTGTTCTTGGAATTCTTCACAAGTTAGCTTTTAAAAGCATGTAATTTAATTATGACTCCAAACAGCTGCTGGGGTTTTTTTCAAGTACACTGACTGTGAACAACCCCGTGTCCCCTCAGTGCCCGACCCTGGAGCAGTACGCCATGCGAGCCTTCGCCGACGCCCTGGAGGTCATCCCCATGGCCCTCTCTGAGAACAGCGGCATGAACCCCATCCAGACCATGACCGAAGTCCGAGCCAGACAAGTGAAGGAGATGAACCCTGCCCTTGGGGTTGACTGTCTGCACAAGGGAACAAACGGTGAGGCGCTGTCGCCGCTCCACGGGGCTGTGGTGTGATTTAAAGTGAGCGGTCACATGCTGTGTGGCCATGTGGTGGGAGGTGTCTGCCCTGAGCACCGGGTCCTTAGTACACACTTCAGGTGTTCAGGCCCTGGATTGTAGGGTTGATTTAATTACCTTGGGAGTTGTTGCACTGCTGGTCTTGGCAAGCTGAAACCAGTTTTAGTAATAACAGACTACAGCGTGGTTATTCCACAGGTGGCTTCCATTTTAATCCCAAGTTTTAGAAAAGAATCCCCATCTTACTTTTTCATGCACGCTTGTCAGTGTGGATCCTGTACGTCGTGTAAAACAGCTCTGAGACTGACTGCTGGTTGACAGCTGGTTCAGTGGTTGTGCCCGCAATTACAGGGTGTGTGCACGAGGGGCCCTGTGACTCCGTGGCTCTCACCAGCCCATCTGCTGGGCAGGGCGTGCGGCCTGAGCGCGTTGGGAAGCTGGTCCCGGTGCTTCCTGTGCTCGCCAGGCGTGTCCGGGGCTCCGCAGTCAGTCCTGACCACAGTCTCCCAACGCGTGGTTTTGGGTTTTGTTTTTAGAAATCTAGAACTCTTAAAGGTATGTTCTGGTTTTCAGGTTAACAGGCCAAAGATTTTAATAACAGCAGTGACTCAAGCAGATACTTAAACTGCTTTGATGTGAATGCTTGGTTTGCTAAAATACACCATTCTTAGGTCTTTCTTGGAGTTACTTTACATTTCAGGCACAGTCAGGTTTTGCTCACTTCAGGCTTACTGCGGTACGGTGTTGAGCACACTGGGTGAGATGTCGCTGAACCACTCTCCCTTTGGCAACTCCGTGAGAAACTCAGCCTGTTGTTGGAGAGGGGTACCCTTCCCCCCACATTCCAGAATGTCCTGGGAAGTGATGAAAGTAGATTTCTCTGAAAATATAACTGGGTCTAATGAATCCCAAATTCGTATTTATGAAGTTTTACTGTGATTCCATAAATCAGAGCAAGGTGTTGACAGAAAATGTGTATGCTGTTTTAGGATAATTAATTTGTATTTTTCAGATATGAAGCAACAACATGTCATAGAAACCTTGATTGGCAAAAAGCAACAGATATCTCTTGCAACACAAATGGTTAGAATGATCTTGAAGATTGATGACATCCGTAAGCCTGGAGAATCTGAAGAATAAAGAAAAACTTTAGGATGAAATGTAGGAGTAAGATCCACTACTGTGATTAAATAAATGGTGTCTCGTGTGCATCTACAGTTATTTATTATCCCGTTTGTTTTCAGACACTGTAGATGCTAAAACATTAATAGCTGTTTGGTTTCCGTGGTTTCACTTATTCAGAGACGTGATGCTGCAGAGGTACAGGCTCGCAGGTTTTGTATTCGTTATATTAAAGGGAGCTCTTTGAACAACCTTTATATTCTGCTCTTCGAGTTTAAGAAACATTCACTGTAACATTCATCAAATGCCTTAATTGGAGGGGTTTGAGTTGATTTTTTTTTAATAAGCTGTAGGAACTATTTTTAACTGCTTTAAATGTTGCGTTCTTAAGATTTATTTTAACATTGAGAGGAATATGGGCTTGGTCCTATTAAACGTATTTAAGTGTTGCATCAGCCTTGGTGGGTGGATCTTTGATTGTAGGCACCGTCAGAGTCGCCTGTTCCCACCACAGGATTGTGGGACGTCCTCGTTGCCGGGAGGTCACACCGGCACAAGCTGCGGTGTGAGTGCAGTGCTGACGAGACCAGCGTCCTAAGTGTGCTTGTCACGGAGGCCCCGTGCGTTGTCCCTGTTCTGGCTCCGTCCCGGGAGGCCCTGCCCATTGAACATGGGGCATGTCCTGAGAGCTGTTGTGTTTATGTGGGTAGATGACAGCGGTGGCTTTCAAGGGGCCATGAGGTCAGGGGTAGTTTCACTGAGCTGATTTGCCTTTTTCGCTGTGTTGACAGTTGCACTGATGGTGCAGAAGCAGTGAGGGTAAAGCTCACCCGAGCCCGAGTCAGCTAGTCTGTTCCTCAACGCCTCCCCCTACTTAAGAAGCTGCTCCCACTGAAGGGTGGCCTTGATCAGTGCACGTCGCTGTGTCCTGAGGTCTCCCTGCGCCCTGATGCAGTGCGGGCGTGAGGCCTGGCACTCACATCCCAGGCGGGGCGGTTGTCTGGTTGGACCAGGCCCTCATGGCGCGCTGGCCCCACCTTAGAGGGTGACTGACACTTGGGTGTATGACAGACGGTGGCTTAAAAATGAACATAGTGACCCTGTCACTTCAGTAGGACAACTGGCTTAGTTCAGGCTCCTTCAGAGAAAGTATCGACTGGGGGCTGAGTCCACAAGTGCTTCCCGCAGTTCTGGAGGCTGGAAGCCCAAGCTCCAGGTGCTGACAGGCCAGTAAACGAGGCCTGGCCAGGTGTCGGGCTAGCATGGTCCCGTGCGCGAGCAGATCTCCTCTAAGTGGGGGGTGGGTCGACGTAACGGTGATAAGTTTACTGAAACTACCACTTGCCGAGTTTGGGAATAGATTAAAAAGGAATATCCCCAGTTTTGCGGAAGACAATATACTTTCCCACCCACCGTACGTGTGCCTGTGGGGAGTCTTCACGTGCTTCCACTCCAGCCAGACTGCGTCGCGCTGAGTGTGCTGTTAGCAGGTCAGTTCACTGTCCTGTTAGAGGGACGTTGAGATTTGCAAAAGTGGAAAACAATGCCACTGTTCACCTTTGTGGTTTGGGGAAATATGAAAAATCACTTACATTAACATTTGGTGTGTTTGTTACTATTTTAAAATAAAGATTTGCTTTATTTTTTAGTCTTAATTTCCATCAGGTTAAATACCAATGAGTATAACCGACAGAAGCGTAAGCTCTTGCAACAGGTGTGGGGAGGGAGGTCCTGAATTACATTTTTCAGCGACACAGGGATGTTGAGACCAAAATATTTGAGAACTGCTAAATTAGTACCTCACGATAATCCTGGTTGTTGTCAAGTCCAAGAGACGCTGCATAATCTGCACCATTCACTCACTAAAATAAACTCAAGTTTATACAGTAGATATTTTTAATACAAGCACTGAAAATCTGCACTTAACCAAGTCTTACCTGAGGGTCTTGACTCCTGGTTCAAAGACAATTGAAGCTGACAGTGAACTTGCAGCTTCCGTGCTCCCACCTGGTCTCGGCCGCCCACCCATCCCTGCTCCTCGTGGCGGGCGGCCTTCTAAAGCTGTCCCCCCACCGGCCTGGTTATGCATCGCTCAGACGCTAACTAGGTGCTGCTGTGCTGGGACTTTGCAGGTGGAATTAAGGACTCAGTGGCTGACGGTAAGAGCGGGAGGTGATGCAGGTGGACCCAGTGTGATCGCAGGAGCCCTCAGGGCACGGCAAAAGGGAGGGGTAGCCTGAGGATTGAGTACCCATACCGGCTCTGACACGCAGGGACCCTGTGCAGGCACCGAAGACAGGCCTCTGGGAGCTGAGGGCGGCCCCCAGCGGACAGGAAGGAAACCGGGCCTTGGTCCTACAACGGCAAGGAACAACTGTCCCAAAAGCTGGGAGGTACAGTTGGCAGGTGTCAGCGCCAACCATCTGTGTGTGAAAATCCGAGAGTAGTTTATAGCCGGCCCCTCGCATCCATGGGACCTCTGTATACTCAGTTCCACCTGCAAGGATTCAGCCAACGGTGAATCGTGTCGTACAGTAGTGTTTAGGAAGATGTCCGCATGTGAGTGGACCCACGCGTTCAAGGTCAGCTGTACTTAATTTGGAAATGGATCCATTCCAGGGCCTTGGGCTGTGAGAATAGCCAGCCAACACCTTGACAGTGGCCTTGTGAAACCCAGAGTTGAGGAACCAGCTGAGTGCACCTGGGCTTCTGGTCTACAGAGCTGCGGGATAGTAAACTTAGTGATCATTGGTCACAGCAGCGCCAGGAAACACACCCTCCTGTTTTGCCTCAGTGATTGTGGCGGGGGGTGTCCTCCCTGCTCAAGATGGGTTTCTTCTCACCCAGCACCCCTCGGATTCTGTCTCCTCTCAAGCTGGTTTCCTTAATTCCACATCTGGGGTGCTCATTAGTGACCCTCACCAATGGGCAGCTTTCTGGGCACCTGAGAGGATCGCACTTGTGGACTCTCGTGGTCGGTAGGGCACGGGGCCAGCTCAGGCCAGTGAGCCATGAGAAGCCTAATTCCCAGGCCAAAGCATTTACTCGCCAATGCAGTACCCTCCAGGGCTCCCCTCCTGGCACAGCCATGAGCGCGATTCCACGGCGGAGGCGGCTGGTCAGCCTGGTCCCCTGGAGAGGGCAGTGATGAGGGTCCCCTCCAGCCGCCCTGGGCACGGAGCACCAGGGAGTCAGAGCATCCAACGGGTTCACCCAGGACTGGGCTCTGCCTGCGTCCTCAAAGCCCCTTAGCGCCTCCCACCAAGTACCTCCCCTCAGAAAGCAAAAAGCAAAAAGCAAAACAAAGCAACCCCCTCCGCCCTGGCCCCTGGGCTCTTCCCTCACGCCTGCCAGTGCCCTGCGCTCTCTCCCGCCCCCTCCTCACCCACCGCCACCCCAGCCCTTCGCAGGGCCACTCCGGCTGCCACCCATCGGCCTCAGCCGACTCCCCAGGATGCTCTGTGATGGAATCTGTCCTGTTTCACACACACCTTGGACTTTTCTTTTGTTTTTTTTACTTATAATTTTTGCCTCCTTTTTGAAACTCCTCCCTCAACTGTCATGAAAGTTCTTCCAGTTGTCCTCTGGCCCCTCCGCCTCACTCCTCCCTAGTCCTCCCCGCAGCCAGCTCCCCCCACATAAGGCTGACACCTACGTTCAGAAACAGCTGCATCTCACGGGCCCACAGTCCCTGAGCACAGGCACACGGATGGCATGCCCACACCAGACTGTTTACTCTGCAAAATAATGTCACTTGCTTCATTTTGTAGATTTCACATTGTAAAAAACTGAGGGTCAGAGAATTTACTCAAGTTCCCCAAAGCCACCCAGGAGGCCTGGACACTTGGAACCCTCCCCTCCTGCCTCCCGGTTCTCCCCCACCCCGCCCTCTCCTTACTCCATGCCTCCCTTGGCCCACACCCAGCAGGTGGCTTCCAAATCTTCCAAATCTATAGGTCCACGTGGGGCTGCTTCTACCACAGCCCCCTAGACGGGCCTCCACACTTCCCTCCTTCACTGTGTCCAGCCCCAGGGTGAGTTGTGGCCCGATGAGTCCTGGCCACAGACTCCCCTTTGCCCAATGCTCGCTCAGCCTCCTTGACCTGCACGGAGAAGCCAGCTGGGGGTATCTGGGAAGTCCCTCCCTAACAGAAGTAGGAACAGAAAAAGCCCTTCCCTCCCTTCCTGCGGGGCTGGTGGTTAGTGAGGCCAAGCACACCCAGGAGGGCAGGCACCTCCCTCGTCCTGACACCAGTAAGGCCCTGAACCCCTCCAGGCTCCACTCAAGGGTGTTTGGGAGAGACTTCAATGTTACTCTCTTAGACACTATTTATTAGCGGGACTTTGTCATTTGCAGCCCAAGAAAACCCAACCGATATTCCAGCTGGACCAAAACAAAACTCTTGCCCACAGCCTGCTTCTCTCCCGTGTTCCCCCTCCAGGGACGTCAGCCGGGTCCCTGCGTCTACCCAGCCCACTCCTAAGTGCCCCAGGACCCCTCCTCCCCTCTCCGCCCCTACCTAGTCAGGCCCCTGGCTCCCTCCTGCCAGGAGAGGGGTTGCCCATCTCGGCCCCCCTGCTGCTCTCACAAGAAGAGCAGCCCAGGGGCCCCTGTAGGCCCAGCGCTGGAAGAGGGTGTGGGTCCCCGAGGCGACAAGATCCTTCCTGCTCCCCTTCTTCCAGAAGGGAAGTACCCGAGTTTCCCTCCCGGAACCCCAGCACCGACAAGAAATGGCCCCCAGCTGGCCACGCACACTGGGCTGAAAGTCCACCCTCAACCCCACAGCCCCACCAGGGGGAGGGAGCCGCTGCAGGGTGTCTGCGGACACCGCAGGGCCGGCGGGACTGACGGCCAGCTGGCCTAGTCGTGAGGAGTTCGCCAGGGAAAGAAATTCTCTGGGCTGGAACTGAGGCTGTCACCTGGGGGAATGACAGGATTAACGGAGAATCAAACAGGATGCAGCTGGAGGAGGTGAAGTGGCTTCACCAGTGTAGACGAGCACCGTCCAGCACAGTTCCCATAAGCCACCTGTGGCTCCTGAGGGCTTGACTCAGGAGGTTCTACCAAGGAGCTGGGTCCTTGATCTGATTTACTTTTAATTAATTTATATGTAAAAGTCGAGGGGGCTGGGTATAGCTCAATGGTAGAGCGCAGACTTAGCATGGGCTGGGTACTGGGTTCAACCCCCAATACCTCCATCAAAAAAAAAGAAGAAAAATTAATAAATAAATGTAAAAACTACAA